TTCAATTGTTATTAATAGACGAAAGGGGGAACTCTTGGTGTAATTATGTAGTGGATTCCTTTATAAGTCATCTCTTAAGGACTCTTATTTTACTAGTGTCTGGCCTCACCCTTTTTCTTTTTCCTTTTTTTTTTGGAGAGGTTTTCGCTATAGGGCGTGTGCTCTCGCCAGACAGACAGAGACATAGAGACAGAAAGTGAGAAATCACCCCCCGGGGGGATGGTCACGCCGCAATCCCTTCTCCTCCATTCTCCTCTCGGGATCTTGGGCACGCACGCACACGCGCCCGGCGTGAGTTTTAAGCCACCGGGTCCGGGACGCAAACCGTGGTGGACTAAATGGGAGTCCAGCGACATAGCCATTATGCTAACTGCTGGTTCCCTCTTTTTCCTTTTTTTAACTGTCTTCATCATCATCCTCTTCTTAGCACTTCCACATGGATAGCATTCAGTTCCACACGGAATGGAAGCGTCACAATGAGTGGAAATGAGGTTGGGCTGCAGCTCCTGGGCCTTGGTTCTGCCCTGTGGTACACGCTTGGACTCTGTGTGTGTCTGTTCTGTTTTGGGCTCTGGCAATAAAGGGATGATCTGTTACCACACTTGGTTAAACTGTAGAATTACCAACTACCTCCTAGTCCTGTATCAGCTGCTCTGCAACAGTTATGTAATTAAGGCTCCCTACTTCCAAATCTAGACTAAAGGTTTAGCTGGATTTCTTTCTTTTGGTATTGAAAAAAATGCTTGAAAGTATGACTATTTTCCCAGTGCATTTAAAAGCTCGAAAAGAAGAATATGTCACCAAATATAAGAATTTATAAGATTTTTACAAAATCATAACTTATGTGGGGAACCGGCAGTTAGCGTAATGGCTATGTCGCTGGACTCCCATTTAGTCGACCACGGTTTGCGTCCCGGACCCGGTGGCTTAAAACTCACGCCGGGCGCGTGTGCGTGCGTGCCCAAGATCCCGAGAGGAGAATGGAGGTGAAGGGATTGCGGCGTGACCATCCCCCCTGGGGGTGATTTCTTGCTTTCTGTCTCTATGTCTCTCTCTGTCTTTCTGGTGAGCGCACGTGCCCTATAGCGAAAATCTCTCCAAAAAAAAAAAAAAAATTGTAACTTATGTGGACGTTTGAATGAGATTTAAGACTTTGAAAACTATTCTGTATTTGGAATTGAGACCTTTGGGTCTTTACATTTCTTGGTTTTCAATCTAAATTTCCAAAAGTCTAAATGAAATCTCATTCTGTGATAGCCCTTGAAGAATAAAGCAGAAATATACATTTATATTTGGCATTTAATTGTGTAGCCAGCAGATAGTAGTTTATACTTTTTTTTGGCTTGTAATTTATGACTTAAAGATATTTCATAAACTCTTAGGAAAAAGAATTTACGATTTAGATTGTTTTGTGTAGTACTCTCCACTAAATACCTTAAAATCCTAGGACTTTATTATTTGGAAATAATGTTAGAGCTAATAGTTAAGACTGTCTCCCTTCAACCATTTCACAAATGTGACAGTAAAACCTTTAGAGAAGGTGCCTCCCCACGTGTTTAGAACAGAATTTCATGTACAGAAATTAATTATTCTACATTTTTTCAGGAACATGAGTACTGTGCAAAAGGCTATACATATTTATTGACTATCACAGAATAGATGCCACATGAATATAAACACACTGAGCTTTGAGTCAGATCAGCTGGCGTTCAGATTCCTGCTCTGACCCTCAAGTAGTATGACTTGATTGGATACTTAAAAATGGGATGGTAAGGGCCAGCAGGTGGCGTGGCAGTTAAGGCACTAACAAGGGTTCATATGACTGACCAAGATTCGAGTTCTAGACCTGGTAACTTGTAAATCATGCCAGGTGCGTGTGTGAGTGTTCCCCACATCCTGAGAGGCTAATGGAGAAGGGATTGTGGTATGGCCATCTGCCCTGGGGGACCAGGGGAGGAGGAGTGATTTTTCATTTTCCATTTCTCTCTCTTTGGGGGCCACACACACTCTGTGTAAAAAAAGAAAACTTTAAAAAAATGGGGTAATTATGGATACTGGAGACAGTACCTGAAAAGGGTGGGAGAATGGGGTGAGTGAGAGGAAAGCAATCAAAGAGAAAATGGAGAGGCAAGACATTTATGGTACACAGAAATGGATGATTATCTGTTGGTGATTATGTGTATGGCATCTTCACCTGGCTGGTGTGAAGTGTATTCATGTTGGGTAAATTTATTTTAAAAGCTGTAGTGAATTTTATCCATTCAGATCAAATGTCTAAAATAAATTTTAAAATGTGATACTATTTTCTTCATGGAATAGTTAAAATTAAATTGTACAAATTGTAGCTTTTGGCATATAAAAGTTCAAAAATATTTCTTTTTATTTCCTTCACCTGTTAAAAATCCATTTAAGAAATTTATTTAATTTTTTTTTTGAGAGAGGTTTTCACTATAGGGGGCATGCGCTCGCCAAACAGAGAGAGACATAGAGATAGAAAGCGAGAAATCACCCCCCAGGGGGGATGGTCACGCCACAATCCCTTCTCCTCCATTCTCCTCTCGGGATCTTGGGCATGTACGCACACGGGCCCGGGGTGAGTTTTAAGCTGCCGGGTCCGGGACGCGAACTGCGGTCGACTACGTGGGAGTCCAGCGACATAGCCATTACGCTAACTGCTGGTTCCCAAGAAATTTATTTAATTTTTTAAAGCAAAACCTGCAGAACTTTTTTTCAGTAGAGAACTTTACGTTCTTTCGCCTGTTAAGCAATTCCTTTCTTTTCCTCTCCTACTCACTCTCTACGACCCACCCTCTACCAGTTTCTTCCCTTCGTTACAGTGTCTGGTATCTACACTCATCTTCTCTACTGTTGTATCTTTGGATCTTTCCATTTCTGCCATAGAATGCAGACACTCAATACATACGGAGTGGGGATATACAGTGTGTGTCTTTCAAAGTTTGGCTCACTTTGTTCAACATTAAGTCCTCTATATTCATCCACTTTGGATTAAACAATAGGGGCTTCTAGTTTGTTATGGCTGAGTAGTATTCTGTAGTATATATGTATGACAGATTTTCAACCCAGTCATTAGATTTTGGCCACTGAGGTTGGTTCCATGTCTTAGCCATTGTGAATTGTTTGTTATGGTTGAGTAGTATTCTGTAGTATATATGTATGACAGATTTTCAACCCAGTCATTAGATTTTGGCCACTGAGGTTGGTTCCATGTCTTAGCCATTGTGAATAATACTGCGATAAACATGGATGTGCAAGTGTTGTTATGACTGAGTGTTTTACTGTCCTTTGGGTAAATACCCAGGAGTGGGATTACTGGGTCATATGGTAGTTATATTTGTAGGTTTTTGAGAAATCTCCATATTGTTTTCCACAGAGGTTGTACTAATTTACATTCTCTTCGACACTCTAGAAAGGTTCCCTTTTCACCACCACCTTGTGCCACTTGTCCTTCTTTATTTTTTTGACCCTAGTGATTCTAACTGAGATTAAATAATATCTTCTTGTGGTTTTAATTTGTATTCCTCTTATGACAAGAGATTTACTTAAGAAGTTAATGTGAACTTCGTAACAATAGTATTGCAAAATCTTTTTGAGTAATTATATTTAATAAAGATGTAATTGTTAGGTAACGATTTTTGTTCTGATAGAGTTTAATTTACGTTAAAGCCAGAGGCTTCATCGATGGAGTAGAACATGTCTTAATCATAATCGTCTAGACTGCTCCATTACCCAATCTGAAAATAGTTGGTGACAAAAGAAATGGCACTCAGCCTTTCTGTTACCTGTATCTAAGAAGTTCCAAAGGCTTATTAATAAATGTGTTAGTTTCTCAGAATGACAGTTATTGGTCCATTCACTTTTCCCAATCCTTTGTGTTGAGCAAGCAAGTGCCCTCTATCAGTAACGATGCATTTCCTTTGTACTGGAAAAAGTAATAAAGTGACAAGACTCCTTGCCTTTTCACTTGGTGTCTGTCTTCTGCTGGAGAACATGTCCTAGCTGCCACTGTCCAAGGCTCTGTACAGCTTTGTAGGTAAAATGAATCTATGAGACTCATTGGAGCCTACTTCCTACCCCTTTTAAGTTAAACATAACAACAGAAAACCCAACAACCAAAGAAACCTTGATAGGTGGAAACCTTTGGGGAGTTTTCTTGGACTCAACAAATTAACCCAATTAACTGAGGTGGTAGGAGATAAAGATAGATTCTCATACACACTAACTCCCCAGGTAGGGCAAAGGCACAGAGGAGGTGCTAGAAACCTTCAACCAGGTGGTAACAATAAAGTGTTTCTCAAGGTGTTTTAGCTTCTTTTTTCAAGGTTTTCCAAGAGCCTTCTAATCATTTGCCTCACAGCAGTCTTACAAAGGATTTTGAATGTTCCCCTTTTGTGGCTAAAATGAGGAGACACTAAAAATTAATTGCATAATAATAACATCACACATCTATAAAGAGCTTTGCAGCCTGCATGACACGTTCACCTACCACATCTCATTTGATCCACCTAACAACGGTGTGAGGGAGGAAGGATGGTATTACTGTCCTCATTTTAAAGATTGCTATTCATGCACTGTCAAGAGGCAGGGTTCTTAGCAAGGACAGAGCTAGGACCCCCTTGTTTTGACCCCAGCTTTATCATCATTTTTTCCCATTAGAATGTTGTAAATCTGTTAACACACAAATAAGCTATTAGGATGGTGGAACCAGCACTCAAACCCCTAGTTTTCCTTGTGTAGTTACTCTTAATCTCTAAGTAGAGTTTAAGAGCATAATACAGAGAAACAAGCATAATAAAACGTATGAGGTTCCATTTAGCTTAACCCACTCAAAATGTCTCTTAATTGAATGAATTAATTATTGCGTCCTATGTAACCCGTACGTGGTGCTGGCACATCCCGCTAGTTTCATCCTATTTTGCTCTTGGAATTGATATAATTGCTTTATAAGTCAAGTTACTTGTTCAATTAAAGCTTTATTTTTGTGTTTCATGTTTAGTATCTGGAGTAGAGCAAGAAAAATTATTATGCCTGTGTTCCCTTGGGACTCCTTGGAAATTGTACAGTGACATCTTCTGGGATTTAGTCTGGTGAGTTTTATTTTGCTTTTTCTGTTTGTTAACCAGTTGTGTGAACATAGTTCCGTAATGTGTTTTAAAGATTTTATAAACAGGTGAATGCGAAATGTCAGATTACTACAAATATGTATACTCCAATTATGAAATTGTTAGTGGTGGGAACCGAAATGACTGTTGCCATGTGCTGTATTCCATTTGAAATGTTCAACTCTCCGAGTGGATTTTCCTTTTTGATAAAGGGAATCTTTGTGGCATACTGTTACAGAATATATGATCGTTAGAAGTGGTTGTCCTAATTGGGGGGAAATGTTGGTGAAAACATTAGTCTCCAAAGATGGTGAAATCATTTGCAGGAGGTTGTGTGGTACATTCGCATCCATCGAGGCTGACAGGAGCTGAAAGGAGCGTCATTCCTCTTAGTCGCATAGCAGTTTGTTGCAAGTGTGACATTCCTTTTATCACACCATGAATTTAAACTGTTAAAAATATGCAATGGTGTTGTATTCCATTAGCTGTCTTTTTCTCAGTGTGTCGTCTCTGTGTCATGGCTGATATAGATGCCCAAGTGGCTGCAAGTCTTTGAACTTCAAAAAGTCAGAAATGATCTTCGTAGCTCTTTAGCATTTTACAAACTGTATTCGTGTGAGTGCGGGCTCTGGTACATTGTTCTCCTTGGTCAGTATCTTTGTAGATCTGACCTTTGTGCTGCTTAGAGAGGACATAATCCTTTGAAAAAAACAGAGTTTCATAAGTGATTTTTTTTTTTTTAAGAAAGATTTTATTTATTTATTTATTTATTTATTTATTTATTTATTTATTTATTTATTTATTTATTTATTTATTTATTTATTTATTTATTTATTTATTTATTTATTTATTTATTTATTTATTTATTTATTTATTTATTTATTTATTTATTTATTTATTTATTTATTTATTTATTTATTTATTTATTTATTTATTTATTTATTTATTTATTTATTTATTTATTTATTTATTTATTTATTTATTTATTTATTTATTTATTTATTTATTTATTTATTTATTTATTTATTTATTTATTTATTTATTTATTTATTTATTTATTTATTTATTTATTTATTTATTTATTTATTTATTTATTTATTTATTTATTTATTTATTTATTTATTTATTTATTTATTTATTTATTTATTTATTTATTTATTTATTTATTTATTTATTTATTTATTTATTTATTTATTTATTTATTTATTTATTTATTTATTTATTTATTTATTTATTTATTTATTTATTTATTTATTTATTTATTTATTTATTTATTTATTTATTTATTTATTTATTTATTTATTTATTTATTTATTTATTTATTTATTTATTTTAATTTGACCAGAGAGAGAGAGAGAGAGAAAGCAAGTTGCCAGGTCTGGGACTTGAACCGTGGTCAGCCATGTGTGAGTGCTAGCCCCATAACTAGTGGTTTCTAAATTAGCAGTAAGCAGCAGAATGATTCAAAGAATGATGGGAAAAAACACACATTGCAGTTTATTAAGTGAATGTAGCCTACCAAATTTATAAAAAGGAACATTAAAACACTGGGAAAATAAAAACATCAGTAAAGGGCCAGCAGGTGGCATGGTGGTTGGGGTGCTGGACTGCCATATGGCCAACTGCAGTTCGGGTCCCAGATCTGGCAGCTTACTTTCTCACTTTCCCTTCCTCTCTGTCTCTCTCTGGTCAAATTAAATAATAATAATAAATAAAATTAAATCATTCTTTAAAAAATCATTAAAATGTTCAGTTTCGAGGAAAAGAGAAAAGTTTGAAAATCTTAAATGTACTTTTAGAGCCTATCGAATAAAAAATAATGTAGTCAATCCAGTGACTCATCCAGCTGAAATAGAGCGCAGCTAGAGCAGTGGCTAGAAGCTAAATGTAACTGTCTTTATCTTTTCTCTTTCTCTCTCCACACATGTGTGTGTAGGTATAGATACAGTTACATATGTAAGTAAAACAGAAAGGAGCCAGTTCGGGAGATGGTGAGTTACTCATCATTGGAGGTATTCAAGCATAGACTGACTGGAAACCATTTACGATTCCTTCTGATTCTGCGATTGTATGGATTCAATTCAAAACATTTCAATTGTAAAGGACATCCAACACTTGGAAATGTGTGGCAAAGACTTATTTTTCATGTTAGTGCCAGGTTTATTGAAGTACAGCTTCTTCAGTAAGATTACCCTTAATTTTAAAGTATATCATTTGATACATTTTGCCATGTGTCGAGTTACGTAAGGACTACTGCAGCCAATAGGTCGAATATTTTCATCACCCTCAGGAATTCCCTGTTGCGGGACCAGCAGTTAGCATAATGACTGTGTTGCTGAACTCCATGTAGTTGACCGCGGTTCGCGTCCCGGACCCAGTGGCTTAAACTCATGCCGGGCGTGTGCGTGCCCAAGATCCCAAGAGGAGAATGGAGGAGAAGGGATTGGGGCGTGGTCATCCCCCAGGGTGGGGTGTGGTGGGGTGATTTTTCTCTGTCTGTCTCTGTCTGGCGAGCTCACGTGCCCTATAGCAAAAACCTCTCAAAAAAAGAAAAAAGAAATTCCGTGTTGCCCCTTTTCAGTCTCCCCTCACCCCAGCCCTGGGCAATCATTGATTGTTTTTATTGCCTGAGAGTTTCATCTTTTCTAGTATGCGTATAAATGGAATCCCATAGGTAGTGGTTTCTGTTGCTCAGTGTGGGCTGCTCTTCGTTGCCGGGTGGGACGTCATTGTTTGGATGGACCTCAGTGTGCGTGTCGGTTTCCCAGCTGATGGACACTGGTGTTGCGTCCAGGTGTTAGCGAGGACGGACGAAGCTACTGGGGACGTTCTTGTTCAGGTTTCTGTGTGGACATCGATTTCAGTTTTCTTGGATAAATACATAGAAGTCAGGTAACCAGATTGTTTAATAAGCATTTATTTAACTTCATAAGCAACTGCCGAACTAGTCTCCAAAAATAGCTATACCTGAGGAGCCTTCTACGTAACTGAGCAGCTATGCCAAAGTCTGCAGATGAGAAGTCTGATTCTCATTCAGCACAGATTTATTTTTATTTTATATCCAGTTTTAACACATTTGCTTAACAGATATTTTCAGCTCACAGTGGATTAGAAACAGTAAATTAGAAAGTCTTAGGGATAGGTTGTTAGCAGTTATAAACAGCCAAAAATTATGTCCACTAACTTAACTATACTTGCTGATTTTTTAAGGCAGAAACCTGCAGGAGTGAAATTCTTCTATTTGTTAAGTTTTGTCTGAAGCAGTCACAAACCTGTGTGTGTATTGGATCACCTGGGGCTCTCTGCAGAATTTCAGAGCCTGTGCTGTACCCTAGATCAGTTAAAACACAGATGTGGGAGGGCTGGCAGGTGGCATAGTGGTTAAGGGTGCCGGACTCCCACATGGCTGACTGCAATTTGAGTTCCAGACCTGGTGGCTTGCTTTCTCACTTTCCCCTCCTCTTTCTCTCATTCTTTCCCCTCTCTGTCCAAATTGAAGTCAATCCATCCATCCATCCATAAGTTAAATAAAATAATTATTTAAAAACATTTTTAAAAAGGCACAGATGTAGGATAGAACACAGACATCAGTGTTTTCTGAAGGTCTTTGGATGATTTCAGTGTATGGACGAGTTTGGCAACCACGTGCTGGGTACACAGTGTGGGGAAATTGAAGGAGGACGGATGTGCAGCCCGGAGACCTGGATTATAGTTATGACCCCTAATCTGTGGACAAGCCCTGCCTTCATGGCATCAGTGTCTTCTCTGTCATTGGAAGTCAAGTTCTCAATAGGTAAACCCCAACATTACTCTGTCATTAAAACTAGATGATTTTAGGGGACTCGCAAATGGCATAATGGTTACGTCACTGAACTCCCATGTAATTGACTGCTGTTTGAGTCCCAGACCTGGCCATCTAAAACTCAAGCCGGACATGAGTGGGCATTCTCAAGATCCCGAGAGGAGAATGGAAGAGAAGGGATTGTGGCATGGCCATCCCCCTTTCTGTCTGCTTTCTGTCTCTCTCTTTCTCTCTCTCTCTGTCTCTCCGGTGAGTACACATGCCCTATAGCAAAAATCTCTCCCCAAAAAATCCCAACAAAAGCCTAAATGATTTTAGGCCCCTGTGGCTCAGGTGGTAGGGTGCCACGTGGTAGACCCAGGTTCGGATCCCAGTTGACCTGGCTATGTTGGATGCATGCACATGCGCCTGTGAGCCTGGCTGGGCAGGAAGCTGGGAGGATCATGGTGTGGTGAGACCCTATTAATGGTACCTCTGTTTCCCTTTTTTTCTCTCTCCCTCTCTTTCGCTCTCTCACGAGAGAAAAATAAGTAAACTTTAGAAAAAACATACAAAAGCCAGATGATTCTAGATAGCATTGCACGGATATTGGTCATATTTAGGGGACCCCGTTTTCCTAGGGATGGCTCCATTTTGAATGGTCTGTTTCTGAGAACTCTTGAAAAGATTTTGTTAAAATGAGGACTTTTTTGTTCTGTCTGTTTGAGATGGTTATGCTCATATCTGTATTGCTATAAGTTGCTAAAAACAGGGGAAGCATATGGAGCAGTGTTTTGATTACTGGGAGTGAATTTTTTTGATAAGACTTATTTTAAAAAATTCCCAGAATGCAACGCTTCTTAAAAAGAATTCTTTGTATAGCTGTGGAGAAACTTCTTGGCTATTTTCAGAGCTGGACTAGAGAGCTTAAGGCATCTAGGTTGTATTCTCAAATATGTATTGTTCTTTGGGCCCAGTGTGTCTGATCCTGGCCTCTTGGAGAAGCTCCCAGCAGGTTGAAGGTCCTTGCCTGCTCTTCCTGCTGGGCCAGCCCCTTCCCATGTGTGCTGGTTTGGGCCTGTGTGTCTCCTTTCATCCTGAATGCTCTGTTTGGGTACTGCATGCTGCAGCCAATGCTTTTAAAATACGCACTGTAGGGTTTTTCTAGTACATAGGAATGTTATTATCTCTGCTTTTGAGGGAAAACTGACATTTAGTTTGTAAATGTCTTGGTAGGAAATGTCTAATTGTTAAAAATGAAAATAGTACCTGAGATTTGAGGTCAGAGGATGGACAGAATATCTTCTTCATTTATCTTTTCTTTTGGGGGAAGATCAAACATACTTTTTAGATACGTTATCTTCTTTTTCTTCTTTGGTAGTTCTTATTTATGAATCATAAAGTAAGAAACAAGCACTTTTCTTAGTGAGTATGTAAATTGGTTTGTGGGGTTTTGTTTGTTTGTTTGTTTTTGTTTTGGCCGTAGAGCATGTGTGCTCGCTGGAGAGAGAGACAGAGACTGAAAGTGAGAAATCACTCCCTCAGGAGATGTGGTCATGTCCCAATCCTTTCTCCGTCGTCCTCTCAGCATTTTGGACATGCACACATATGCACCCTGTGTGATTCTCAAGCTTCTAGATCTGGGTCTTGAACCATGGTTGGCCACATGAGAGTCCAGCGCCTTCACCACAGGGGATGTGGTAGTTAAGGCACTGAACTCTCACATAGCCAACAGAAGTTCTAGTCCTGGACCTGGTGGCCTGCTTTCTTACTTTCCCTTTGTTTCTCTCTGGTCAAAATGAAAAATAATAACAACAAACAAAATTAAATAACGAATTGTTTTTTAAAAAGACTTTCACACTGATTTTTTTCTTATTGAAGGTAAAGACGTACGTTCCCCTGGTATACAGGGAAAGCTGTACATCTGTAAAGCATTGTCGCTGCCGTAAAAAGGTAAAAGGCACATGTTCTTTAACGCACCATTTTCCTTCTGGAGTTTCTTGCAGAAGAGATTCCCATACATATATATTTGTGTATGTTCTTAGATGTTTTCATTGCAGGAAAAAGTGGGCACCCACTCTCACATTTGAGAATGTACAGGAAAAAGAAAGATCCGTGAAAATATGTATTAAGCATTTAAAAATATTTATTTATTATTGTTTAAATTGGCTATAGGGCACATGCACTCATCAGAGAGAGACAGAGAGAGAGAGAGAGAGAGAGAGAATGCAGGCTGTCAGGTGTGGGACCTGAATGGTGGTCAGCCACGTGGGACTCTAGTGCAATAGCAGTTACGCTACCTGCTAGCTCCAATACACGAGAATATTAGTTTTATATAGACATGGCTGCTATTAGCAGGTGCTGAAGAGTGATTTTTTTTTTCTTTTACAGCACCTCATATGAGTTGCTTGGCTTGGATATCTTTCACTTAGCATGTATTATTGCAGATTTCGAAGACAGTAAAAAGCAAAAGCAGTCGTCGGAGGAGGCTCATGGGGAAAGGAACAGGGTAGAGTGTCCGGATTCCGGATGGGAAAGGTGGTTATATCAGGCTGGTACAAAAGCAATTGCAGTTTTGAGTCATCAATTTAAATCGATGTAACTAGACTCAAGTACATCTTTATTAATCAAAATAGCAACCATTACAATCAACCCGTTTTTGCTCATGTGAAATAAGTTTGTTTATTCCTGTAGCGTAAAAATCTGCTTCAGGATTCAGAGAACTCTTGGAAAGCATCTTCTGCATCCAGCTGGCTGTGGAAGTGTTTTCCCTGCAGAAAGCTGTGGAGATGCTTGAAGATGCGGTAGCTGGTTGACGGGAGAGCAGGTGAAGATGGCGGATAAGGGAACACTTCATTGCCCAGTTCACGCGACTTTTGAAGAGTTGATTGTGCAACATGCTATCGGACATTGTCATAGAGAATTCCGTCCTTTCTGTTTACCAGTGCTGGCTGCAGGCTTTGCGGTTTTTGGTGCATCTCATCGGTTTGCTGAGCACACTTCTCAGATGGAATGGTTTCTCCAGAATCCAGACAGCTGTCGTGGATCAGACCCACCAAACAGTGACCATGACCTATTCTGGGGGCACAGGTTTGGCTTCAGGAAGTACTTTGGAGCTTCTTCTTGAACCACTGAGTGGGTTCTTGCTGATTGTATAAAATTCACTTTTCATCACACGTCACATACCAGGAAGTGGTTCACTGTTACATAGGATGAGAGAAGATAAAACTTCAAAATGATGATTTAAAAAAAAAATTTGGTTAGCTCACGAGGCACTCACTTACTGAGCTTTGTTTGCTTCTTTCTAATGCTGAATGACCAGAGGATGGTCATTGGCTGGGTTCTTGGCAACCTCTCGTGCAGTCGTAAGAGGATCAGCTCTGCTGACTGCTCTCCGTTGGTCATTGTCAACCTCGGTGCCAGCCAGGACACGCCTCATTTCTCAAGGCTCTCGTCTCCTTTGCCACACTAGTTGAACCATGCCTGCACTGTGCATTCATTAGCAGCTCCTGGGCCCGTGTGTCATTGATGTTGCGAGTCGTGTCTGCTGCTTTAGGACCCGTTTTGAACTCGAATAAGAAAATCACTCGAATTTGCTTTTTGTCTAACATCATTTTTGTAGTCTAAAATACATATGAAATAAACAGCAAGTAATACATCATTAGCATAAAAAATAGTGAGAAATGTGCATGAAAACGCTATATGACATAACCACACTTACTTATTTAAACATGTATCCAATATCAAGTGGTAAATTTCAACAATGCAAAACACAATTGTCTTTGCATCAACCTAATAAAAAAGGTTCATGGAGGGGCTAGCGGGTGGCATGGTGGTTTAGGGGCGCTGGAATCCCCTGTGGCCAGCTGTGGTTCAAGTCCTGGACCTGGCGGCTTGCTTTCTCACTTTGCCTCTCTCTCTCTCACTCTGTCCCTCTCTGGTCAAATAAAACATTAATAAATAAAGTTAAATAAAATAATTCTTTAAAAAAATGTTCATGGACTTCAAGAGCTCTTTGAGATAAATCTTGGTATAGTTAAAGGAATTAGCAAGCAGGATGGAACTCCAGGTGTAGAACTTGGTAAAATAAATCTTGGAGTATTATTGACTCAGACATTCTTATTATCGGAGCTGGCTATGGGAATATCTTGAGGTGTCTTGGTACTGAATCACCTTCTCATTTTTTGTTTTTGTTTTTATGCTTTGTTTTTCTCTCTCTCCATGAGAATTATATTACACCCACACTTTACTGTATCTTTCCTGTAATGAAAAATATTAGGTGGTCGGGAAAGTCAGGGTGTATTTATCTGTGTTTTTCTATGCAAAAACTGTTCCCGACAACCCAATATTTCTGATAAACCGATTCAGTCTATGACAGAGAAGATAAAAATATTTTAAGGGCAGACAGTGAAGAAGAGCAATATTTAAGTTAGTGGAATGAGCCTAACCACCAAATTTGATGTCTTTTAATATCTAAGCAAAAGCTGTAGGGAGTTGGAGTGTTTTTGGAATAGGTTCTCCTACACGTGTGTTGTGCTGTGCTTTAGTTTCAGCCAAAATTCACAATTTTTTTGGAATAGGCATATTACTTATGCAAGAACACATACAGGAAAGTTAGTGAAGTTGATTCTTTGAGGATGCAGTGAGTCATAAGAATTCTTTGTATAACAGTAGTGCACTTACTAGCTATGTTCAGAAATGGTTTAAGGAGCTCAGGGCATTTAGTTATACTTTGAAAATATCAGTCACGCCTGAAGTTTGCAGGTTTGACCTCATGGAGAGGATTCAAAGTCTTGCAGACCCTGGACAGGTGTTTCGAATGCTCTTGTTCTGTTGGGCCGAGTTCTCTCACTTGTGTGTTGTGGTCTGCTTGTTCCAACCTAAATTCACAATGAAATGTTGTACACAGTGCTTATAAAATATGTATTGTGTACGTTTTTGTAGAATTAGCATTGCCGTGTCTAGTGTCGTCTAGTTGGGGCCTTATATATTTCCTTTTTTTTTTTTTAGGGGTTTTTGTTATAGGGCACATGCGCTTGCCAGAAAGACAGATAGAGACAGAGAGATAGAAAACAAGAAATCACCCCCCAGGGGGGATGGCCACGCCACAGTCTCTTCTCCTCCATTCTCCTCTTAGAATCTTGGGCTTGCACACGGGGCTGGCATGAGTTTAAGCTGCCGGGTCTGGGACTCGAACCACGGTCAACTACATGGAAGTCCTGCGACATAGCCATTATGCTAACTGCTGGTCCTAAAGGCCTCATTGATTTCAAAGGAATATAATACTGGGTTGTCAGAAAAGTCATGATGAATTCTTGAAGACAAACATTGAAAACTACATCATGACTTTTCCGACCACCCAGTGGTACCTATGAACATTGCCAGATGATCATGCATTATAAATATATCACTGCTATTGCTACTAGTTGGATTATGAGGGGAAAAATTGGGAGGCCAGTGGTTTGAGTCCTGGACCTGGAGACTTGCTTTCTGACTTTGCCTTTCTCTCCCTTTCTCTGGTGAGCGCATGTGTCCTGTAACAAATTAAAATAATAATGATAAATAAAATAAATAATTTTAAAGAGGACAAAAAATTATATTTATTCCTGGTGGTGGTTTGAGAAGCACAAATTTAAAAGAATTATTCATCTACAAGTTGACCTTTCTCTTCTTGCTTTAGTTTCTGTTCCAGACTGTTCTGTCTACAGAAATTTTGCTGCTGCTGTTTTTTGTTTGTTTGTTTGTTTTTTAATTGCCAGAGGGTGAATGTGCTCTCCAGAGAGAGAGAGAGAAGGAGAGGGAGAAAGCACCCTAACGGGTGTGGTCATGCCACTGTCCCTTCTCCCCTGTTCTCTGTCCTGTCAGTGTTGGCACACACACACACACACACACACACACACACACACTTTTCAAGTCTCTGGGGCTGTGCTTGGAACCACAGTCTCCCACGTGGGAGTCAGCTCCCTTAGCCACCAGGCCAAGGGGCTAGCCTGCTTCTGTTACTGTAATATCGACACTTTTTCTATTTTCTATTTCTGGACTTTATTTTTCTTTAAATTATATATGAAAACATTAATGGAAACTGAAAGGATATCTCTGGTCTCTGATTTTTTTGTTCTCCATAGTGTATTGCAGGGGACCAGCAGTTGGTGTAATGGCTGTCACTGGACTCCCATGTAGTCATGCAAGGTGCGTGTGCGTGCGTGCCCGAGATCCTGAGAGGGGAGTAGGGGAGAAG